ATTTACATTTCTTGGCTTCAACTTCAATGTTCTTTCCAAAATAAGCACTCTATGATTACAATTATATTTACTGAATCCCATCATCTCTACTGTAGAACAAAGTTCAAACTAGGCCAACAACATTTTTCAGATTGTACCATATCACATGTCCCTTAACTTCTCAGTAACTTATATATCTTCCTCTGGAAAGTAATGCAACAGAAAAGCTGACCTTAATTCTTCCTTTTGCTCTAAAATTCTATATACCATTCAATAGGTATGAATCAGTGCTCTTTTCCTACCTGTACTACCCCACAGGATAAAAATGTTTCACTCCCCAATGCTTTGTAGATTCCTTCTAGCTCAGCTACCCCTGAGGTTTTACAATGAACCACTTAAGGCATCAGAATCAATTATCTAYAAGGGACCATCATTCACCAAGATTCATGAAGTTTCTTCAACTTGCCAGATGCTATGCTAGAAAAACAGGAGACACTAAAAAAAGGTTTATGGTATCAGTTTAGCAATTTCCTCAGGAAGATCAAATTTATAAATATCACTTAATCATTCTCTTTAATTTTTTACATTTCAGTGGCTTTCCATTACTTGATTCCCAAAGTATACATGTAGTCAATTAGATTTTGAAGATTGTTGCTTATATTAAGTCATTTATGAATCTGGAATTTGTTTTTATATGTGGTATGGGATTATTCAGATGAAAGAAATTGAGTTTGGAACATATTATTTTGCTATGCCATGTATTAAGTTATTCATCCTTTTTCCATTTAATTGAACAAAATAGCTGTCATTTATTAAATTTGCATATATAATAAGGTCTATTTATGGATTCCCTGGTCTGTTTCACTTATGTACCTATCTATTCTAATGATCTTGCCAAATTGATTTKATTTCAGGACCTTTAAATAATCTTCTGATATCCAGCGAGGCAAGTTCCCTCTCTAATCTTACTGCACAAAATTTTATTGGCTATTCTTAGACTTTTTTGTTATGCTATATAAAATTTAAGGTACTTTTGTATTCTTAATTGAATATTGTTTAGATTCAGTTGGAATTGTATTAAAGTTATAGATTACCTTTTTTAAAAGAAAAGAACATTTTTATGATGATATTTTCCCATCCAAGGACATGACCAACCATTTGTTCAGCCCTTGCTTTATGAACTACATTAAGATTTACTATTTGTCTAAACACACTTTAAAGATTAAAATATATATATTCGAAAAAATAAAGGTTTGGAAGTTTTGTTTGTTTGTTTGTTTTTGTACCAGGGATTGAGCCACTGAGCTCTACCACTGAGCCACATCCCCAACCCTTTTTCTATTTTATTTAGGGTCTTGTTAAGTTGTTTAGGGTCTCCTTAAGTTGATGAGGCAGGCTTTGAACTTGTGATCCTCCTTCCTCAGCCTCCTGAGCCTCTGGGATTATAGGTGTGCACCACTGTGCCCAGCCGAAATATGAAAGTTTCAATGAAGAGAAAAGATAAAGGATTTATAAAATGTAAAGGACTCTTTATAAGTAGATAAGGATGAAAAACCAAAAGAAAAATGGGCAAAGGGCTAAGTAGGCTACTTATAGAAGAGTAAATCCAAATAGCTGACAAAAACAGAAATATGTTCAAACTTACCCATAAATATTTTCAAATCTTTATACTAGGATTTCTCAACTTTTTACATTGCTTCTCATCTTCCTCAATGACATTCTGAGTAGGTAACTCTTTGTGGTGGATGTGCCTTGAGCATTGCAGGATATGCAGCAGAATCCCTGGCTTTCCCCAGTAGAAGTTGGTAGCACCCTCCCGCAAGTCATGACAATCAAAACTATCTCCAGATATTGACAAATGTCTCTGGAGGGCAAAAATCATTGCAGACTGAGAACTACTTATTTGCACCTACTAGACAAGCAAAAATGTAAAAGTCACACATCAAATTCTTCTCATCCTTCAAATATGACTTCTGATACCAACAGTAGAAAATTCTGCTCATGTGATTAATTTTACCATAGATAAAGTAAAAACAAATACTCTCATCTGTTGCTAGTAAAAATGATAAGTTATTATAGCTTTTATGGAAATCAACAAAGCAACATCTATTAAAATGAAAAATGCATATACTCTATCTCAGCAATTGCAGTCCTGGGAATAAATGCCATTAAAATTAAATTTAAAAGATATAGGTATATTGTGCAATGATGTTATTTGAAGTATTGTTGGTAGTGATTGAAAACTAGAAACAGAATGAATGGATTATATAGTATATCCACATAATGGGATCTAGGCATTAAATATACTTTATTAAAGAGAATGTGCACCATAAATTATTCCTTAGTGAGAAAAACAGAAAAAACAGAAATGTGTACAACTGCATAACCTAATCTTACTTTTGTAAAACACACATCTATTACATATAAAAAGAAAAAAAAATCTTCCAATATTTTATCTACCCCTTCCAAATAAGAGAACAGAGTATCTAGAATATATAAAGAACTCTTATAACTCAATGACAAAAGACAAACCACCCAGTAAAAAAGTGGGCAAAGGACTTGAATAGACATTTTTCTCAAGAAGATATACAAATAGTCAACAAATACATGAAAAGATGCTCAGCACCATCAATAATTAGGAAATGCAAATAAAAACTATGATGAGATATCATTTCATACTCATTAGGATGGCTATTTTTAAAAAAGGAAAATAAATGTGACAAGGATGTGGGAAAATAGGAACCTTTTATATATTGCTTGTAGAATGTAAAATGGTATAGTTTCTCTGCAGAACAGTTTGGCAATTCCTCAAATAAACACAGAATTGCCAATGAAACAGCAATCCTTCTCCTAGGTAAATACTCCCAAAGAACTGAAAATAGGCATTTAAACACTTGCACAGGAATGTTCACACCAGCACTATTCATAAGAGCCAAAAAGCAAGAACAACTCAAATGTCCATCAACAGATGAATCCATAAGCAAAATGTAGAGTATACACATATTACTCCACTACAATAAGGAATGAAGTACTACCACATACTACAATGTGAAGGGAACTTTGAAACATTATGCTAAACTAAAAAAGCCAGACAAGAAGAGTCGTATGTTGTATGAAATTTGTAAATTCATATTGAYAGAAAGAGCATTATAGTTTGCTAGGGGCTGGAAGGAGGGGGAACAGATACTAGTAGCTTAATGGTATGGGTTTTCTGTCCAGTTTTCATGGAAAGAGTGGTTGTAAATGTCTTGGAACTAGACAGAAAGAATGGTTCCACAATGTAGTGAATACACTAATGGCACTGAGTTGCACACTTTAATATGGTTAATGGCTATTTTCATGTTATGTGAATACTACCTCAATTTAAAAATATATCCTATTTACCTCTATATTAATTTCCTATTGCTATACAACAAATTACCACAAATTTACCATTTTAAAAAARTTATATCTCTTAACTCACAATTCTGTAGATCAGAAGTCCAGGTGGGCTTGAGTGGGTTCTCTGCTTAGTGTTCCACAGGCGAAAACTAAGATGTTGAGCAGGCCAAGCTCTTCTCCAGTTGCTCTGAGGAAGAATCTACTTCCCAGTTCATTGAGGTCTATAGCAGAACTCAGTTCCATATGGTGGTAGAACTGGGATCCCCACTTGCTTGCTAGCTGAGCGCCAGAAGCCAGTTGCAGTTGCTACAGACTGATCATGTTCTTTGGAGCACAGTCCCCTCCAGCAGCAGCACATCAAATTCTTATCATTCTTCAAATCTCTCTGAAAACTTTGCATTTAAAGAACTCATTTATTGAATTGGGACCAGATGCAGAATCACACATTTGCCATAAAATGTTAGATAATCTCAGGAATATCATTTCATCAAATTTACATGCTCCATCCCACACAAATGGATAGAGATTACACAAGGGCAAAGGCCACTGGGGTCATTTTTATAATTCTGCCTATCATGATCTCTTACAGAAAAATAAGAAGATGATTTTTTTTTCACCCAATTCAAGAACAACTGCTGTTTGGTTTATTCTTAGCATCACTTCAAAGAGGATTTGAAAGGCCTACCAGATTTATGTCCAAGAAAAATTACAGAACCAATAGTTTACAGATTAGCATAATTCAGGTCTCCAAGTCTCAGGGAAAGGATAGAAATATGCTCTTTTGGTAGGTGGGCTTCTCTTTCTGAGGCTTCTCCTGGCCTGCCTGCCTTCCTTCCTCCCTCCCTCCCTCCCTCCCTTCCTTCCTTCCTTCCTTCCTTCCTTCCTTCCTTCCTTCCTTCCTCTCTTCCTCTTCTGGTCTCTCCAAGCAATTAATGTAAATGCAAAGCAATTGCCAACAGGACCACTGTTCTCTGGTCATAGTGAAGAGAAGCAAATACTATGCAGCAGTTTAGGGGACTAGATAATTGTACTGCAGGAGATCAGTAGTTGTCAAATATGATGGTCTGAGGACCTTTATAATTGAGGACCGACCCTAAGACTTTGGTTTGGGTGGGTCTTTATCAAATTATATTTACCATACAATAAATGAAACCTGGAAAGTTTTTTAAACACAAAAGTGCACAAGCACACATTCTCTTAGTGACAATATCATTAGACATGATGTTGCTCTGGAGTGTAAAAGCAAATAAAGCCTTAGTATGATTACAAACTAATTTTGACCTGTGTATCCTCTGAGAAGGTCCCAAGGACCTTCAAGGCTTCCTGAACCACTCTTTGAAAAGACTCATTGAGAGGTATAAATACCATGGATTGTGTTTTTTTTTTTTTCATAGATTGAACAACTCGCATATTTTGGTGCATTCAGTAGTATGGTATTCCATCTGGCTTTGCTGCTGATGCTCACATAAAAAGCTGGACTTCTCATAACATACCTAAAAGCAAAAGAGAAGGTCCAAAAATGTTTGCRTAGGTTTCTGGCAGGATCTGTACTCTACAAATACTGCACAGGAAGAACTGCTTTACAGATGCAGCTTTGCCTGCAGTGGATGGGTAGTCAGGCTGTGCTTCAGGCAGAAAGCACCCAGGAGATGAGCGCAAGCCCTGGAGATTCCTGTCATGCTTTGTCTTTGAAAACTATGCCAAGACTCTTGTTTTGTTTTGAAATGAGATTGATCATTCCCGATTGCTTGGATGACTCAGAGTTTCCACTTTCTTCTGCACCGTAGATTACACTGTGCAGTTCAATGGTTCTCGCCACAGCTCTCGCAAACAGCGCGGCGGGGAAGCCCGCGGGCGGCCTCGGGGCTCCCGGGCGGTTCGGCGCCCAGGCTCGCTCTCCCTCGCGCTCTGGGCGGCGCGAGGCGCCCACTCGCGGCCCTGTCCCACTCGGGCGGAGGAACCCAGTTCCACACGTGGCGCTGGGGAAAAGGGCTGCCACTCCCCGCCTCTGCCGGCAGTGGTCGCCACGTCTTTCGAGGAGGACACCTTTGCGGGCCTCAGAGGGACGGTGACAAATTGTGAAGGAGGTCACTCGCACCGCCTGCCGACACTGAGGCACAGGGGACGCTGAGCGGGAACGGAGCGGCTGGCAGCGCTGCCCGTTCCGCGAGCCCGCCGCCAGCCCCCTCGACGTCAGCGTCTGGCGAGGCGCCGCCGCCGACCAATCGGGGTGAAGCTGAGTGCCGGGCGCCTACCGTGATTGGCCCCGACCTGGAGGCGGCGGCGAGGGGGCGGGCGGTGGAGCCGGGCGGCTCTGCAGGACGCGTGAGGGAGGCTAGGCTCCGCCCTGCGGCCGCCGGCCCGGAGCGGCTGGCCCTGCGGAGAAGAGGTGTCACTAGAGGTTGTAGGTGTCGCCACCTGGGACTCCCTCCAGTTGGCGGAGCAGAAGGAAGGGGCCGGGCCGATCCCCTCCCGCGCCCCGAATGGATGTGCCCGGCCCTGTGTCCCGGCGGGCGGCGGCGGCGGCGGCCACCATGCTCCTGCGCACTGCGCGGGTCCCTCGCGAGTGCTGGTTCTTGCCCACCGCGCTGCTCTGCGCGTACGGCTTCTTCGCCAGCCTGCGGCCCTCCGAGCCCTTCCTCACGCCCTACCTGCTGGGGCCCGACAAGAACCTGACGGAGCGGGAGGTAGGCGGGCGCGCGGCGGGCGCGGGGCCGTCCGGGTCGCGGCTCCGGCGCTGTCCCGGGGCAGACGACCTGGGCCCTGCCCCTCCTCCTCTGGGTTTCCCGTCGCCCTCCGGAGTCAGAGCGCGCCCAGCCCGCGGCGGCGTGCCGTGGCCAGTGAGGGTGGCGCAGCGGTGCGGCTTGGAGACTCTGCCCCGACTGGCCCGGCAGCCCTGCTGCGGGCTGGGACCGGGGTTTGACAGAGAGAACGCAGCAGGCTGTACTTTGGGCAGGGTGGAGGTCCGGTGAATACCCGTGGGCTGAGAGTAGGCAGCCACGGCTTTCCGAAAGGGTCTCCCTTGACCTTCCCAGCCCCTCCTTTGTTTACCGCTGACAGGATGGATGTGCACAAATAACGACAGTACAGGACAAGAATCCATCGTTTTAATTTGTCGTATTTTCAGTTAGGTGAGTTTGTATCCAAAGTTAGCCCTCCCCCCTTAAGTCCCATCTCCTGGGATAAAAGGAGATGGTATCACGTAAATTGGCACTTATAGTTCTTTCCTGCATTGTGAATTATTGCTTCAGATGTTAGTTTTGCTCTTCAGCTGTTAGGTGAGGTGTTTAAAGGCTCTGTACCTGCTGTGATGCTCAGGGTAATTGAGAGCACATAATCCACGGTCAAGAACTTCTTGCTGGTTGCTTACCCCCAGATAAGGATTTCAGAAGTGCATAATGTACTTTTAAAAAAATTTTTTTTTAGTTGTATATGTACACAATACCTTTATTTACTTATTTTTATGTAGTGCTGAGGATCAAACCCAGTGCTTCATACGTGCTAGGCAAGTGCTCTACTACTGACTACAAACCCAGCCAATCGTAATGTATTTTAATGATGTGGTTAACTCTTTAAGTGCATCATCAGTCCCAGTATTTGGGTTTTGCATTAAGACATATAAGATGAAAATAAGTTAAACCCAAAGTGCTTACCACAGGGTCAAAATAAAGCAGATTGAACATCTTTTTCCTTGAATACTGCAAAAGGTGTAAGCTGAGGTCTGGTGTTCTTTACCCTCCTATCAGTTGAGTGGTGGCTGGTTGGTTGTTCATTTTTTTCTATCTCCCTTTCCTCCCACCCTGCCTCCCTGCTCCAGTAACTATAAAATATTCCTCTGATTTAAACCATACTCACCTCTTTTGAGTAGCAATTCAGTTACTCAGCATAACAGGTCAGAGCAAGAGGTGGCACTACAGGAGTCATTTGCTGACTGGCAGGATATAATTACTCATAGTCCAGTTTGTTGTTCCAGTGTGTCTTTTTTCCCAAGGGCACTTGAGAGAGAATTGAATCAGTGTTGAAATCCTGGATTCATTTAAGTGTCTGACATTGTTTCACCCCAGTGAGTGTAGAGATGACTTTTGCCCAACTCTACATCATCTGTTTCTCAGTCTTGTGGATATCCACACAAGGAACTGTAACAGTTATTCATCACCCATTTTAATTTTTTAAAATTTTATTTTTTTACTTGTAAATGGACACCATATTTTTATTTTTAATTGTTAAATTTTTTTTATGTGGTGCTGGGACCCAAACCCAGGGCCTCACACATGTGAGGCCAGTGCTCTACTACTGAGCTACAACCCAACCCTCCCATTTGAATTTTGATACTGGTTAAAATCAACAATAAAGTGGAAAGGACCATCTCTTAAGAACAGAATGATTTTACAAAATTACTGCACCAACCTGAGAAGGTATGATTCTGGAGACCCCAAACGGCCACTGAATCTGAGGCATGGCCACTGAGGCAGAAGTAATTCTGCTTATGAGCAGCTGACAATTAAAGTTTCATATGAACTGCCATGTGATATGCAGTTTGTGTACCTTGCYGGACAGAGAAGCACGTAGGGAAGGAACATGCCCCCAATGTTGATATTTGAAAGCTGATCTGTTTTGTCATGTGTTCTGTGCTGTCATTATTCTGTGCTCTATCTTATCAGGAAGTTTTCTAGGGTGAATCAAATATGTTCAGGGGCATAGAAATGAAGCAGGGGTGAAAGATCCAGTAAATATTTATTGCTTGTATAATAGAAACATAAGCATGCTTCTGTTGTTGCATATTAGATGGGGAGGAAGGCAGGGTTTGAAGAGGAATCTAGTGATCTGGGAAGAAGGGTCCTCTGTTTCTGAGGAACCTGGATTCAGAGCTGATTGTGTTGGTTATTGCAGTATGGCTCTGTTTACCCTGTGGCAAATCCCTTGATTTTTCAGATAACTAGTAACTGAAAGAGTGCTTGCTTTTAGCAATGGACAGTTAAATAAAAAATAGCACATAATTTATAAGTAAATACCAAACCATATTCAGTGACATATGTACTGAAGTTTGTGTTTCCCCTGAAGACTTCTGAAGGACCTGAACAGGTCATCTTAAGTAGAGTTACTATGACCAAAGTCAAAAGATAGAATTTCCTCTATCTTTCCACTCTCCGAGGATTCCCCCCCCCCTTAAATTTTAGGAATAACATAAACTTTAAAATAGTTACCACTTCATAAGTTTTAAGCAGGTTAAATTTTGACTGTGTTCTTATACTTTCAATAAAATAGTCCTTTTTTTTCTAAAAACTTTATTAACCTTATCTCTTTGTGGTATGTGGTTTGAAAGGCATTTTCTGTTTTTGATTTTTTTAATCATTGTGCATATTCTTCCTGATATTCAGAGCCTAACAGTCTAATTTTTACCTCCTTGATAGCATTATCTCCCACTACCTCCTTTTCCCTCTCCCCACTTCCACATAGCCAGGCTTCATTCATACTGATCTTATAGGTCCAGCATATCCACAGACTACCATCCATTGACCTGTATTCCAACATGATCTCTGGAATAATCTTCCCATATATATCTGTTGATATCTTTTTGTAGCTTCTTTCTCATCCTTCAACATCCCCCTCAAAGCCATTTCCATCATAAATACTGTTTATATGTATGCATATTCTTCACCAGGTTCAGAACTCCTGGAGAGAGCGTTTTACTTTTTTTTTTTTTTTTTTTATTAATCACCTCTAAATAGATTGAGAACAGTGTTGTGCTAACAGGTGTTTATTAAATAGTTTAATTGAAACTTGATTCTAATTGAAACTTGATTCTAAAATAAAGTCTATATTGTTTTCCCTTGACTTTTTATATCTCAGAAGAAAGCACAAACTCTGATCCAAAGTTGCAGAAGATACTTTGAATAGAATAAAATCAATTCCCTTTGATCACATGGCATATTTTACCTGAGGTGAGAAGATGGGGCATAGACAATAAAGGTCTTTAATTTGTACAATTTTGCCTGTAGGAAGTTCCCCTTCAAGATTCAAAGTATTTATCCAAGAAGTGTTTTCTGGTGTAATAACTTCTGATGGTGTCATTGAAGAGAAAGAAAGGATAATCTCCTTTGGGAACCCAGTGGCTAAGCTCTGGAGACTGTCTGCAGTATTACAGTCTTTTATCTTGACAAATGTTCTATAAAAATACCTCAAGGGCTGATAGCAGCTTGGAAGGCTGAGGCTGGAGGATGTGTATTCAAAGCCAGCTTCAACAACTTAGTGAGGCCCTAAGCAATTTCATGAAATCCTGTCTCTAAATAAAATATTTAAAAAGGCTGGGGATGTGGTTCAGTGGTTAAGTGGCCCTGGGTTCAATACCCAGTACTGGGAGGGGACCCGTCAACCCCCAAAACCCCACTTCCATATAGATTGAAAAAGCACTTGCAGGCCTCAAGTACCCTAGGAGGCTCTGAGATCAATAATAGTTTTCTGACTGAAGAAACCAGGGGTTTCAGTGTGGTAGATTCAGAATATCTGGTTCTGAATGTCTGGTTTAGATCTTCCTTCTTCCAGTCCTCACTGTGATGCCTGTGGATAGTTCACCTAACCTCTCTCTAAGACCAAGTTTCCTTGACTACAAAATATGGATGGTGAAAGCATTTACCCTGCAGTACTGTTGTTTGGATCAGTTGGGGCTATTTTAGGTGAAGTGCATAGCAGGGTGTATAGTGTATCAGTGGGGACTCACTGTTAGGAATCTGGTATTAGTGTAAGAGGGCCATTCACCAGGGATAGATGTCTCTAATAGGAGAAATGCAGGCCTATTAATTACAGTAGGCTAAAGATAACCTATCACCCACCCCTCTATGTTTTAGTTGGCATTCATTAAAAGAATAGGACTTTTATAATGAAACTTGACAGTTAATTATTTAGGGAAAACCATTATTAAAAGTTATATAATATGTCTAAGCACAATTACTGGAAGTGAAGAGGTCAATCAGTGTCCTAAAACAAAAGATGGAGTAAGAGAGCAATAGGAACTGTTTTTAATTTACTTTTTATTAACCTGCAATAATTATACATATTAATGAGGTACAGTGCAGAAAAAATGTGCACATCATGCACCAATCAAACAGGGTGGTTTGCATTTCCCTCTCTTTACCATTTCTTCATATTTGGAGCCTTTGCCCACTGCACTACTCCTTATTCATAAAAAGTGTGCTTGGTTATTATCCCACTGTGGTGTGGAAAGCCAGAACTTCTTCCTTCTGTGTTTTGGTAGCTGTTATCCAGCCTCTTTTTATTCATCTTTCCCTCATCCTTCCCAGCATGTAACAACCTCTATTCTATATTCTTTGCACAGTTCCTGATACACAGTGGTTCAACTTAGGATTTTTTTTTTTTTTACTTTATGATGGTACAAAAGCAATATACATTCATTTGAAATCATATTCCACATTTTTCATTTTGATCTTTTCATGGGCTTAGCAGTACATGGTGCCTTGCTCTCTAGTGATGCTGGTGGTAAATACAGCTCCCAGCTAGCCAGACAGTCACAAGGGAAAGTGGCCAATGCTGCATGTTGCTAGATGCTGCTGCTTGGTAGGCTAGGTATGCTGAGTGACTTGTACTTTCAAGTTAGAATGAGTTCATCAGAACCTAAGCCATCATAGAGGAGCACCTCTAATCACACAGCAAGTAGTAGAATTGTAATTCCACCTGGAGCATTCTAGTTTCATGCTTGCTTTTATTTTAAATTATATTGCCATTTAAAATATGCATTAAAAAGAAAATAGCAGTAAGTTCTTGTGTACTATTCGCAGAAGGGTGATTAGCTAGAAGAAATGATTTTGAATGTTCCCATCATAATGAAATGATAAAAGTTTGAGGTGATGGATAATCTAAGTATCCTGAATTGATCATTATACAGTGTGTACATTTACTGATACAACACACTGTATCCTATAAGTATGTACCATTATCTTTCAAGGAAAAAATTTAATTTTTAAAATTTGAAAAGATAGAAAAAACTACAATCTTCTTCCAAATTACAAATAAGTAAAAAAAGAACAAAAACTTGCCTATAATCCTACTATCCTGAGAGAATTGTTCTGTCAAGATGCTAGGACTGATTCACTCTCTCTACCTATTCCTTTGCTCCAAAAATTAAAATTAGAAAGATATAATTAGTGAGTAGGATCAAAGCTCCCTTGTCCTGTACTTCTTCTAAAACATTAAAGGAGCCTAGTATCTTTTTTTTTAAATCAAGTAGATAGTTTGTTTTGAGGCACTTTACCATTGAGCCATATCCCCAGACCCTCCTTTTTAAAAATACTTATTTTTTAGTTGTAGTTGGACACAGCACCTCTATCTATCTATTTAATGTGGTGCTAAGGATCAAGCCCAGGGCTTCACATGTACTAGGTGAGTGTCTACCACTGAGCCACAATTCCAGCCCACTCCCAGCCCTTTTTATTTTTATTTTGAAACAGGTCTTCATTAAGTTGCTGAGGCTGGCTTTGAATTTTCATTCCTCCTGCCTCAGCTTCCTGGAATCACTGGGATTATAGGCATGCACCACCATGCCCAACCCAGAGCCCCATATCTTTTAAGCATGCTGGCTGTTAAAGTATACAGATGAATGTTGGGTCCCATGTTAAAGAACCTACAAGACAGTAGTTCTAGGAAGTTTTTTTTTTTTTTTTAAATCTTGAAACCCCAAATATTTAAAGCTTCTTGAGAGGTATACAGCCATGGCTATGAACCAGTGTTATGAGTTAAATGGGGACACTGATATGAGATGGTATCAAGAGAGCTTTGAATATCAACTTCAGCAGTCTTCCTGGATAAGGAAGCCTGAAGAGCCTGATGAAAGGGAAAGATTTTATTAAGAAAAAGATGACAGGGCTGGGGATGTGGCTCAAGCGGTAGCGCGCTCGCCTGGCATGCGTGCGGCCCGGGTTCGATCCTCAGCACCACATACAAACAAAGATGTTGTGTCTGCTGATAACTGAAAAATAAATACTAAAAAAATTCTCTCTCTCTCTCTCTCTCTCTCTCTCTCTCTCTCACTCTCTCTCTCTCTTTAAAAAAAAATAAAATAAAATAAACTGATTAATATGTGTTTAAAAAAAAAAGAAAAAGATGACAGAGTAGAGATGGGGAAGGATATTTTGAACAGATATCTGAACTGTTATTGCCAAGGTTTCTTTGGTTGGTAAGAATGTGGTATTTGAAGCATTGGTAGGTGTTTTATAAAAATAAGTTCTTTTTGAGTATTTCGATCACTAAGAGATTTTTATTCTCTCTTTACCAGGTCTTCAATGAAATTTATCCAGTTTGGACATACTCTTACCTGGTGCTGCTGTTTCCTGTGTTCCTTGCTACAGACTACCTCCGTTATAAACCTGTTGTTCTACTACAGGGACTCAGCCTTATTGTTACATGGTTCATGCTGCTCTATGCCCAGGGACTGCTGGCCATTCAGTTCTTAGAATTCTTCTATGGCATCGCCACAGCCACAGAAATTGCCTATTACTCTTATATCTACAGTGTAGTGGACCTAGGCATGTACCAGAAAGTCACAAGTTACTGCCGAAGTGCCACCTTGGTGGGCTTCACAGTGGGCTCTGTCCTAGGGCAGATTCTTGTCTCAGTAGCAGGCTGGTCCCTATTCAGCTTGAATGTCATCTCTCTTACTTGTGTTTCCGTGGCTTTTGCTGTGGCCTGGTTCCTGCCCATGCCACAGAAGAGCCTCTTCTTTCACCACATTCCTTCTACCTGCCAGAGAGTAAATGGCATCAAGGTACAAAATGGTGGCATTATTTCTAACACGCCAGCTTCTAACCACCTTCCTGGGTGGGAGGACATGGAATCCAAAATCCCTCTAAATTTGGAGGAGCCTCCGCATGAGGAACTGGTAAGCTCACCCTTAAATGTTTTGTAGTTGCTGTTTTTTGAGAGCTGACTAATGGTGATAAGACAGACGGGAAACCCCCTCTTGCTAGATCTTGTTTTTGGATTTAAGTTTTGTCATGAGTGGGTTCGTTGATTCATTCATTCATTAATTCAAGATACCATTGATTTATATTAAGAATGACAAATGTTCCCCTGGAGTGCCTGACCTCCAAAATTGAACTAGCATAACACTGTATTATTCATGTCAGAAATGTCTTAGATGCCAGGGGCTATGTCTACTTCATCTTTCTGACCCCAGTGTTTGATAAAGTATATAAAGCTAGTGCTCAGAAAAATCTGGCTAACAGATTAAATGATTCTGATAAATGTTCTATATCTACTTCCAGTTTCCGAATTGAAGCCCACAGTCTTTTAAAGACAGAAAGTTGTTTTCCTTTTCTATGCTAAAGTATGTTACTTATTTTTCAAATGACACTTTGCCAAAGTGGGATAGTAATGAATAATGCAAAGAAAGAGAAACACAAGAGAACAATTAAGATAATGGGAGATGCTAGAGGGAGGCTGCATTCTGTGTCACTCTGGAACCTGGGATTCAAGTAGTGGAAATACTGTTTCTCTGTGAGCAATTAGAGGACCCCCAACAGCTGCTTCACACGGGAATCTCGGCCGCTGTGCTACACAGGTCTCCAGGCCTCATTGCGTGGCCTCAGCAGACTCCTGACCATCGGCTACACAAGTCCTCCGGGTGCCAGAGTAGGACCACTGGCATTAGCACCTACAAAGGACTCCAGGCTGCTGCTCCCCCACAGAAAACCCTGCTGCAGCTCACGCATAGGAACTCTGGCTGCCCATTTTGAATGGAACCCCACCTACCAACATGGGGCTTCTTCGGTTGCCTCCATCTTGAGTCACTGGAACCAATGCCACAGTCCCCTACACATAGTAGCCTGCACCTGGGAATGCTGCACTGATTCTGGTGACAGCCACCAGCCACAATACTGCATGCCAGAGAGCTGCATCTCTGAACATACCACTCAAGGCCACTGCCTGGCCCCACCCAATCCCATATCCCATTGCTGAAAGTGGATGCCTCCATCTTGAGACACCTTCGTTGCCATCTTTAGTTGGAGCCACTTCTAGCTTGGAACAATGCTGGGGATTAGAAATAATATCAAGGTACCGAAAGTCCCCAACTCACCCCATTCCCTGGCAGCCACTAACCCAGCACAGTGCTTGTAGCTATATAACCAGTCTGTAGTTTGTAAAACCTGGTCCTGAACTGCCCAATATAAAACAGGTTTCTGCTGCAGGTGCACATTCCCCAGAGCACAGCCCACAAGACCTCTGGAAAGAAAGGTTCCTGATTAGGAAGTAGAAAGTGGTGTGTGAGATACAGTTTAGAGACCAAATTAGAGACCAGGAATTGTATGGTCTATAGGTAATATAAGAAGATAAGACCAGGAGCCCACATCACACGAGTGGGCCCCAAAGGAGATCTTTGGGGTGCAGTATCCCACCTCCAGGAACCATGCCCCCAAGACCAATCCTCTCACCCTAATGACCTTCACCATCCTGAGGGTGGAGATGCCAGCAAACAACAGACAACCCACCTATTAGATGAGAAGGGAAGCAGGAGAGATAATGATCTCCAACAAAAACAATCCTTGTGTTTTCCTTTGAGATTTTTTTTTTCTCTTGTCCTCACATCCCCAACATTTGTGAAACCAAGTACTTTTCAATAATTAGGCTACTAAGGACTGGGATGCTTGAATAGAATATTACAGTGGTATTGTATCTTCTTTTATCTCCTATTTTTACTGTTTTATTTTTTTACTTTTCTTAATATTTATATTTGGTTTTTGTACTCTACTGTCTTCCCACATAGTTGTATTTCAAAAATCACTTTTTCTCTTTTTTCCATCTACTAACCAACTTCTTAGATTCCTCTTTCATGCTTCCTAAGATCTAATAACTCTATAKTCTCACCTCCTACCCCTTCAGCATCTCATCCTACACCTCACCCCAGTTCATTGTCCACCATCAGAAATTGTAGACCCTTCTTGCAAATCATTTATATTGTAGATAATAATTGAATTTACCATTTCTGTATATTGACACAAACTGTTAATGTCTTAACAGCAGCTCTTTGGTTTAAGGTTGTATATTGTTTTATTGGAATCTGTTCACATTATTCTCCCCCTTAAAGGAGAGGTATTGGAAACCTGCAGGGACACTATAAGCCTATAGGGTAACACCTTGGATCCACAGTGCTAGAAGGGAAGACACACAAACAACATGAAAAAACAAGGGAAGAAGGTGCCCCCAACAAACCAAGATGAATCCATGGCCAACACGACAGAAGAAAGGATAGAGAAGGTATTCAGGATGTACATAATTAAAACGTTCTGTAAATTAAAGGATGATACAAGAGAGCAATTACAGGCAGCAAAAGATCATTTCCATAAAGAGCTACATAAGCAAATATGGGAAGCAAAAGATTACTTCAATAGGGAGGTAGAGGTTCTGAAAAAAAGCCAAACAGAAATCCTTGAAATGAAAGAAACAACCAAATTAAAAGCTCAATAGAAAGCATCATCAACAGACTAGAACCCTTGGAAGACATGACCTCAGACAATGAAGACAAAATATATAATCTTGAATGTTGACAGTGAAGATGAAAAGAAACCGTGAGCAGAACATTTGAGAATTATGACATAACATAAAAAGACCAAATTTAAGAATTATGGGTCTAGAGGAAGGCATAGAGTTCCAAACCAAAGGAATGAACAATCTAGTCAATGAAATAATATCTGAAAATTTTCCAAACATGAAGAATGAATTGGAAAATAAAATACAAGAGGCTTACAGGACATCACATGTATAAAATCATAACAGATCCACATCCAGGTGCATTATAATGAAAATGCTTAGCATACAGGAAAAGGAGAGAATTTTAAAAGCCACAGAGAAAGGAATCAGATCACATATAGGGGGAAACCAGTTAGGATATCTGCAGTTTTTTCAACTAGACCCTGAAAACTAGAAGATCCTGGAACAACATATACCAAGTTCTGGAAGAAAATGGGTGCCAACCAAGAATCTTATGTCCAACAAAATTAAGGTTTAGATTTGATGACGAAATAAAAACCTCCCATGATAAACAAAACTTAATTTTCTAGTTAGAACTAGAAAGCCTGTACTACAGAAAATCCTCTGTAAAATATTCTATGAGGAGGAAAAGAAAAACAACAATGAAAATCAGCAAAGGGAATTATTACACTAAAGGAGATACTAATCAAAAGAGAAATCAAGTCAAGTTAAATATCAAAAATAAACAAATATAACCAGCAATACAAATCATGTCTCAATAATAACCCTGAATGTTAATGGCCTAAACTCACCAATCAAAAGACATAGACTGGCAGGTTGGATTTTTAAAAAGACCTAACAATATGCTGCCATCAAGAGATTCATAGGAAAAGATATCCACAGACTGAAGGTGAAAGGTTGGAAAAAATCATACTACTCACATGAACTGCGGAAGCAAGCAGGGGTTTCTATCATATCAAATAAAGTAGACTTCAAGCCAAAGTTAATCAAAAGGGATAAAGAAGGACTACATATTGCTCAAGGGAACCATACACCAACAAGACATAACAATTATATATGCCCCAAACAATGGAGCATCTATGTTCTTCAAACAAATTCTTCTTAAGTTCAAGAGTCTAATAGACCACAACACAATCATTCTGGGTGACTTTAACACACCTCTTTCACCATTGGATAGATCTTCCAAACAAAAACTAAACAAAGAAACTATAGAACTCAATAACACAATGAATAACAAACTTAAGAGACACATATGGAATATTTCATCCATCAACGAGTGAATACTCTTTCTTCTCAGCAGCCCGTGGATCTAAAATAGACCATATATTATACCACAAAGCAATTCTTAGCAAATACAAAAAGTAGAGATACTACCCTGCATTCTAATCATATTATAATGGAATAAGAAATCAATGACAAAAATAAAAAATAGAAGCTACTTCAACACCTGGAGAATAAATAATATGCTATTGAATGAATAATGGGTTGCCAAAGACATCAAAGAGGAGATTAAAACATTCTTAGAGGTAAATGAGAACACGGATATAACATATCGAAATCTCTGGGATACTATGAAGGCAGTACTAAGAGGAAAGTTCATTGCATTGACTTCACTCTTTAAAAGAAGAAAAAATCAACAAATAAATGACCTAACATTGCATCTCAAAGCCCTAGAAAAAGAACATCAAATCAACACCCATAGCAGTAGAAGACAGGAAATACTTAATATCAGAGTTGAAATCAATGAAATTGAAACTAAGGAAATAACTGAAAAAAATTGACAAAACAAAAAGTTGGTTCTTTGAAAAACTAAATAAAATTGATAAACCCTTAGCCATGCTAACAAAAAGAAGGCGATAGAAAACTCAAATTACTAACATTCGTGATTATAAAGGAAGTATCATGACAACACTACAGATATACAGAAGATAATTAGAAATTATTTTGAAAATTTATACTCCAATAAAATAGAAAATATCAAAGGCATCAGTAAATTTCTAGAGTCATATGATTTGCCCAAATTGCATCAGGATGATATTTACAAGTCAAACAGATAATTTCAAGCAAGAAGATGCCATCAGAAGCCTACCAAACACAAAAAGCTGGGGACTAGATGGATACACAAGTCCTTCAAAGAACCAGTACTCTTCAAATTATCTCATGAAATAGAAAAAGAGGGAACATTTCCAAACTCATTCTATGAGGCCAGTATCACCCTAATTCCAAAACTAGACAAAGACACATCAAAGAAAGAAAACTTCAGACCAATATCTCTAATGAACATAAATGTAAAAATTCTCAATAAAATTTTGGCAAATTGAATACAAAAACATATTGAAAAGATTGTGCACCATGATCAAGTGGGATTCATCCCAGGGATGCAAGGTTGGCTCAACATATGGAAATCAATAAATGTAATTCATCACATCAAAAGACTTAAAGATAAGAATCATATGATCATCTCAATAGATGCAAAAAAAGCATTCCGCAAAATACAGAAGGCTTCATGTTCAAAACACTATAAAAACTAGGGATAACAGGAACATATCTCAACATTGTAAAAGCTATCTATGCTAAGCCCCAGGCCAACATCATTCTAAATGAAGAAAAATTGAAAGCATTCCCTCTAAAAACTGGAACAAGACAGGGATGCCCTCTTTCACCTCTTCTATTTAACATAGTTCTTGAAACTAGCATTTCTGTTCATCAGAGACAAATCCTTTGAAAAGGAAATTAGGAAAACTACCCCATTTACAATAGCTTCAGCAAAATAAACAAAAAACCAAAAAAAACTTGGGAATCAACAAAAGAAGTGAAAGACCTCTAAAATGAAAATCACAGAATGCTAAAGAAAGAAATTAAACATGACCTTAAGAGATGGAAAGATCTTCCTTGTTCTTGGATAGGTGGAATTAATATTGTCAAAACGACCATACTACCAAAAGCACTATACAAATTTAATGCAATTTCAATCAAAATCCCAATGACATTCCTCATAGAAATAGAAAAAGCAGTCATGAAATTCATCTGGAAAAATAAGAGACTCAGAATAGCCAAAGCAATCCTTAGCAAGAAGAGTGAAGCAGGTGGCATCATAATACCAGACCTTAAACTATACTACAGAGCAATAGGAACAAAACATAACATGGTATTGGCACCAAAATAGACTTGTAGACCAGTGGTACAGAATAGAGGATACAGAGACAAACCCACATAAATACAATTATTTTGTATTAAACAAAGGCACCAAAAACATTTTTGGAGAAAGGGTAGCCTCATCAACAAATTGTGCTGGGAAAACTGGAAATCCATATGCAACAAAATGAAATTAAGCCCCTATATCTCCCCATGCATAAGACTCAACTCAAAGTAGATCAAGGACCAGAGACCCTGCACCTAATAGAATAAAAAGTAGGTCCAAATCTTCTTGTTGGCTTAGGCCCCCACTTCCTTAATAAGACTCCTATAGCACAAGAAATAAAATCAAGAATCAATAAATGAGATGGGTTCAAAGTAAAAAGCTTCTTCTCAGCAAAATAAATTTTCAGTGAGGTGAATAGAGAGCCTACAGAATGGGAGCAAATTTTTACCACACACATTTCAGATAGAGTCCTAATCTCTAGGATATATAAAGAACTCAGAAATCTTAACACCAAAACAATAAATAACCCAATCAATAAATGACCCAAGGAACTGAATAGACACTTCTCAGAAAATGATATATAGTCAGTCAATAAATATATGAAAAAATGTTCAACATCTCTAAGCAATTAGAAAAATGCAAATCAAAACTACTCTAAGGTTTCATCTCACTCCAGTAAGATGGCAGGTATTAAGAATACAAACAACAGTAAATGTTGGCAAGGATGTGGGGTGAAAGGCACACTCATACATTGCTGGTGGGACTGCAAATTGGTGCAACCAAWATGGAAAGCAGTATGGAGATTCCTTGGAAAACTTAGAATGGAATCACCCTTTGACCCACTCCTCGGTTTATACCCAAAGGACTTAAAAACAGCATACTATATTAACACAGCCGCTTCAATGTTTATAGCAGCACAATTCACAATAGCTAAACTGTGGAGCCAGCCTAGATGCCCTTTAGTAGATGAATGGATAAAGAAACTGTGGTGTATACTCACAATGGTATATTACTCAGCATTAAAGGAGAATAAAATCATGGCATTTGCAGATAAATGGATGGAGTTGGAGAATATTATGCTAAGTGAAGTTAAGCCAATCCCCAAAAGCCAAATGCCTAATGTTTTCTCTGATTTGAAAATGCTGATCCATATGGGATGGGTTGGGGGAGCATGGGAGAAATGGAGGAACTTTAGATAGGGCAAAGGGGAGGGAGGGGAAGGGAGGAGATAGGTGAGTAGGAAAGATGATGGACATCATTACCCCAAGTACATGTATGAAGACGTACATATACACACAAAAAATGCAATAAATACTTGAAGTGCGATTATAAAGAAAGAGAGATGACATTTAAAATAATTCATCTACTCATTCTGTCTTTCCAGGAAGATGAACTGCCTCCCCAGTCACCCACTTTTTTTAACCCCCTCTATCACATTATAAACTATAAGGGGCAAGTTTCATTGCATCCACACTGAATTAGTTTTAGTTTTTCTGGGACATACTTGGAAATAAGCCTATTAACATTCCAGCTTTGCATGTGGGCTCTGGCAGACTTAATACTGAGCTCTGAAAGTTGTGTAGACTAAATGAGAATAAAGAACCACCATGAACAGAGTCTGCATTGTACCTAGAGTTTACCCAGTAGTTTCAAAAATGGTCTCTCATGTCCTTATTGAAAATTCTCTCCTTTTCCTACCCCATTCTTCATCTCAGGTTATTAGCTGGAGTTTAGGTTATTGTCACTAGGAGCCTGAGGCACTCTCTAGAGCCTGGTTGATACTCATCATGAGACTCGCCCTTGATCACTAGGGAACCTACAGCCACATTTGACCAAAATGACCAGGGATTGAATATCGATGAAATGCTGATTCCATCAGAATTTGTTAGCTGACACTGGAAAATCAACAAAGGGTTGCTGGGGGAGGCAAGTATATATAATCATTTAATAGGTCTCATATAGTAGAAACAAATAAAATAAGAACTCTCTTTTTGTCTGTTCCAAATTTTTTTTTTTTTAAGAGAGAGAGGGGAGAGAGAGAGAGAGAGAGAGAATTTTTAATATTTATTTTTTTTTAGTTCTCGGCGGACACAACATCTTTGTTGGTATGTGGTGCTGAGGATCGAACCCGGGCCGCACGCATGCCAGGCGAGCGCGCTACCGCTTGAGCCACATCCCCAGCCCCTGTTCCAAATGTTTTAAAATGGATTTGGCTGACTATATATACTTACGTATAATACATAAAAAATATATTTTGTTTTTTAATTTTTGCAGTGGTTGGTCTCAAACCCAAGGCTTCTTGCAGGGTAGGCGTAAGTGWATAATTTAAATATTAACAAAACCATAATTCTAAAGATTTTATAGATATTTACAGACCAAGTTTTTTGAATGTGAATAAGAAACAGGAATGATATTTTACATAGCAGCCAGTATACACACATATATTTTATGTATAACAAAAAAAATCTTTGCAACATTATACTTTATACCGATACATTCCATTCTATTTATTTTTTTATAATTCAGGTCACTGCTCACTAAATCCATATTTTTACCTACTGATGAATTGTGACCTATGGTTTAAAAAATTCTGTCCTAGACCAACTTGAAATTTCTTATAGATGTGTGAAATGACATATTTTTATATGCTGAAGAGTTGTAAAATTTGGTTAGAGTTGATTCTGAGCACAGATCCTAGAAAAATCGGAGCATATTAAAAGGGACTAGGTCTCATCAGCCCTCTCACTGTAGAGATAAGCATTAGAATCAGAAATTAGCAATTTATGCAGAATTGCACAGATAATGCTCCTGTAATGCTCCTGAACATAATTTAAGAGCACTCATGAGATCCACTTCTCTCTATACTTTGATCCATAAAATCTTTCACTAGGCTGACACCATTGTCAGTCTATCAGGTTGGCTACAGTGCAATGAAAATTAGGATTCAGGTCACTTCTGTGATATCCTAGGCTCTGCTGCTGATCCCATATCAGGCTGCTATGTTGCTTGGAAGCTGTTCTGACTGGCCTGAAAATACTGCTCTTTTTCTTGGGCAAGCCTGAAGGAAAGTCAGACTGTGGATGGATATTGGAGATTGTAGACCATTTAATTAAGCCATAATTAAACAGTAAATTATAGTTGTACGAAATATTGAAGAGTGAGTAGTTTTATTTTGATTTTATAGAAAGGAAAAGTGAAGTAGGATGAGTCAAAGTGATAGTCCAGTCCACAAGTTATTTGTGAGTTCTTCTCAGAGACTTTAGCTTTGGGGTCAAGGTTGGTAATATTGCAGAAAGAGGCATCAACAAAGCCAGTGGTTTTCTTTCATGATCAGAACTGGACTGAGGTGCTTGCCTTATAACTGGACCTGATATATTTTGAGTTCTTCATCAAAAATAATTAAGGGGGGCTGGGATTGTGGCTCAGTGGTAGAGTGCTCACCTCACACGTGTGAGGCCCTGGGTTCAATCCTCAGCACCATATAAAAATAAATAAAATAAAGGTATTGTGTCCAACTACAAATAAAACAAATATTAAAAAATAATAACAATTTAGGGGATGAGATTGTAGCTCAGTGGTAGAGCACTTAGCTAGCATGTATGAGGCCCTAGATTCCCTTCCCAGTATTCTTACACATAGTCTCTCTCTTCTCACAACACACACATGAATAATTCACACAAAACTACTACTTTAGCATATGGACTGGCATATCATTAATACTTCAGAGTTTACGTAAGATTTCTGGCAGCAGGGTGTAGTAGGTTTTGAAGATTAAGAAGTTAAGTGCAAATCCTAGTTCTAATACTTCTTGGGCAAGTTATTTAATTATGTGAGACATAGTTTCCTTATTCATGTCATGTATCTATTATTTTTGAGTATTAAATGAGGCAGTAGAAAGCTCTTAAATAAGTATATCTAGTATGTACTTAGTTAATGTTAATTACTGTTATTAATGTTATCATTAGACATTGTGCCTTTACTTTAGATAGTCATTTGTGAGATTATAGAGTGATCTTCCCTACCAGGGATAAATGTAATTACTAATAAGTTTGTTTATTTATTTATTTATATAAAATAAGAAGTTTGTTTTTACAAGGAAAAAGAAGAAGTCTGTTAAATAGAAAATCCAGTCTCTGTCGTTGCCTTCTGTACAATTTCCATCAGAGTGTTTGAGCTGTTTTCTCTTGCTTCATAGGAGCCCAGGGCAGATCGTCTCCTTGTGCTGAAGGTGCTGTGGAATGACTTCTTGATCTGCTACTCTTCCCGCCCTCTACTCTGCTGGTCTGTGTGGTGGGCCCTCTCCACCTGTGGCTATTTTCAAGTTGTGAACTACACACAGGGCCTATGGGAGAAGGTGATGTCTTCTCGCCATGCTGCAATCTACAATGGTGGCGTGGAGGCCGTTTCAACCTTACTAGGCAAGTAGTGCAGGATGGCAGTAAGGGCTTAACTGGTAGTTAAGCCACTTGTGATTGGTTTTAGTCCCCCCTCCCAAATTTGAAGACCCCTTATTTTGAGTTCTGATTTATGTAGGAGAACTTAGAAGGGCTCAAGTGGAGGGGGACTATGACTGACAAACCTGATTTTTTTTATAAGCTTCAGGGAAAGCTGATAAATAATTTTCAGAATTGTTTTCTTTGTTTATCCAAGTTTCTCACTATCTTTGTTTTTTTCACTTGATGTGAAATTTAAGTAGCAATATGCAATAATAGCTAATGTCACTTGAGTTTAATATGTGCTAGGTGCTATTCTAGTATCCTAATGTTCTACATATTGTAATTCAGTTTCACACCATTCCCAAGATAGATGCATTTATTATCACTATTTTACAATGGAAACTTGGTACAGTAGGTTGGTAACTTGCCTACAGTTGCATATATGGCAAGCAGTAAGATCAAGTCAAGATTTGAGCTTGGGCATAGCTTTAGAGTCTGTGCCCTTCACATTATAATTCCATTGTCTGTCTCTTATTTGTTGCCCTACTTAGACGTCATTGGAAGGTTTTATGTGATATCTGTAAACACTTATTAATGGTGCCTGGGAAAGCACTCCATATATTTTAGCTCTCAGCATCATTATCTTACCAAAAGGATAGCAGGCCCTTTCACATATACTAGATTGCACCTTGGTTTGAAGGAGACAATATGTATGCTGCACTGTTGTCAAACTAGAAGCCTGGTTCTCTCTGACACTTTTCCTAAGGCCTGTGTCTTGCCTCTCCATCTCAGTGCCAGCTACCCTAAGTTAGTCTATTGTCATTTCTCAGTTGCTCCATGTTGTTTATTCCATCAAGTCCAAAATTCTCTGCCTGAGTTTCAAGGCCTCCATTAATCTTGAGCTGGCTGATTTGTAAAATTTGATAAATTAAAATATAATTTAATTTATTGAAATGTGTGTGTTCAATAAAGTTCAATAACTAGATTATTGTCTTCTTGTTTTATAGGTGCTATTGCTGTGTTTATGGTTGGTTATATAAAAATATCCTGGTCAACTTGGGGAGAAATGACACTATCTTTGTGCTCTCTCCTGATTGCTGCTGCAGTGTATGTCATGGACACTGTGGGTGACATTTGGGTGTGCTATGCATCCTATGTTGTCTTCAGAACCATCTACATGTTACTCATCACGATAGCAACGTATGTATTTTGGCTTTAAAAACAGTGTAAGGAAAATATGTGACAGGATTCAAAACTTTTTGATTGCTTCCCAAACCAAGAAATTCAGATTTGTAGTTAAAAGATAAGTGGGAGGCAGCATCATACCGTATGTGCATTATCAGTTTTTCTTTTCAGGAAGCATGTAGACAAGATTTGATTATTCCCTTTTTGTATATTCCTACTATTTTTAGATCTTTGCATGGAATTTACATTATTCAGCAACAAAATTTTTTCATTTGATTGGGAAGAGAATTGACATGGAAAGAAGGAGCTATTCCTCATAGTTAAAGATTATAATTATCCAGAAGCAGTTCTTGTCTATTAATTCTCCTTTTACTGTTTTAAAAAAGTTTTCAGATTGCTGCAAACCTCAGCATGGAACGCTATGCCCTAGTGTTTGGTGTAAATACCTTCATTGCCCTTGCACTGCAGACTCTGCTCACGCTGATTGTGGTAGATGCCAGTGGCCTTGGCCTACAAATTGAGACTCAGGTAAGATCTCTCCTTTGGCATTAAAGATGGTCTGATGTGATCAGGGTGACAGAAGTAGAACATACTTCATGAAAACAAAGCCAAAAACCTTGTTCCTCCAGTTACCTCCTTGTCCTTAGTTCTTTTATGTGGAGGATGTTGAGATCATCATCATCTTTTAGATGAGGCCCTAGAGCATTCTTGAGTATAACTAGCCTAAAGGGACTATTTCAACTGAGAGGTATTATTGATTCCTTCTGGGCTTAGTCCTTCTTTCTTTTTGTGGGGCTGGAGATTGAACTCAAGGCCTCACACATACTATGCAAATGCTCTCCCACTGACCTATAACCCCAGCTCCCTGCCCCCTTTTTTAAAAATATTTTTCTTTAGTTGTAGATGAACACAGTGACTTTATTTATTTATTTTTATGTGGTACTGAGGATTGAACCCAGTGCCTCACATGCTAAGTGAGTACCCTACGACTGAGCCCCAACCCCTTCTTTTTTTAAAAAAATTTTAGTTGTAGTTGGACACAATACCTTTACTTTATTTATTTATTTTATATGGTGCTTAGGATTGAACCCAGGGCCTCGCACTTGCAAGGCGAGCACTCTACCACTGAGTGCAACCCCAGCCACCCCAGACCCTTCTTAATTGATGCCTGGAATAGTATATCTCATGGTTAAGATGACATACCTCATTATCTCACAGCCCTCACCCAAATACCAATGGAATGACTTGCAGTGGACAAATAGCATTTTGATTCTTAACATGACCTATTGAGAAAACACCTGCATAGACACCCAAAGACAATATGAATACCTTTATTTGTTCAGGAATTGTATACTTGTGTATGCCTTCATGTATTGTGAACTTGTAGTTAGCATTTGCTCTGTACTTTGTTACAGTAGGCAACTGAATCAAGAAGTGTCTATCCCCAGTCTCAGCCCAGCTCAGCCCAAATGATTCCTTCTCCATTATTCCCTCCATAAATGTCCCCATTATTACCTCCATAAATACTACCCAGCATTTCATATTTACATATTAGTTTTCTTAGGACACAAAGACCCAACATGTTAGCAATAATTAACTTTTTTTTTTTAAATTAAAGAGGTCTAAAGGAGAGATAATGATAATGGGTACTGTGCATTCAGAATCCTGCATGTGCCAGATGCTTTATATAGAATTTGCAAGGTGGTTGTCAGGAATGGATATCAAGAAATAAGTCTGAGAGATGTCAAGTGATTTAAGATCACACAATCAGTGTATGGAAGAGCTAGTATTTTAACCAGTATCTAACCCTAAAACCTACTTTGGGATAGAGAATAGAAGAAAACTAAGTTCCTGTCATCCTATTTGGTAAGGAAGAGTTACAGCCTATTTCAGTTGAAGAACATATGGCTGACATTTAAAGTAGAAATTTGATAGCACATCCTTGTAGAAATGGTGGATTTAAACTTGTGGAATAATAGAATTTTGTGTACTATGCTGAAACTAACTGCCATGATTAGTTAACAGGCTTCCTATTGGAAATATATCCAAATTTAAATGAACTTGGCTCAGAGATTTAAGGCCATACTCTTATTGTGCCTTTGAACCAATTTATAAGTATTTAGTTATTTTAAGAATTAAATGATGATGATTTTGGTAAACTATATAATCACATTATAAAGTTGCTTTAGGGAAGAGTCTTATAAAAAGTAATCCTATTACTGCCTTCTTCTGGAAAAGAATGGAAGTTCTTGATCTTTAGAACTTGATCTTCAGTTTGAGGATACCTACTGTGTTAATCAGATTTTCATCACTGTGACAAGATATCTGATGGAATCAGCTTATCTGGGAAAGCTTTATTTTTACTTTGCTGTTAGGTTTGAGGTGAAGCAGAAAAATCATGTGGAAGGGTGTGGCTGAAGAAAGCTGTTTATCTCATGGTAGCCAGAAAGCAGAGAGTAAGCCAGAAAGGAAGGGGCCAGGGACAAGAGATAGTCCCCCAGAGTACATTACCTCCCATAACCCACTCTTTTTAACTATGTCCTACCTCCTTATTTCCATCACCTCCCAGTAATGCCATCAAATTATGAATCCATCAGAGGATTAATTCACTGATGAAGTCAGAACCCCCATGATCCAATCATTTCCCAGAAGCCCCACCTCAGAATACTGTAGCCTGGGGACCAAGCCTTCAACATGTGAGCTTTTAGCGGACATTCAGATCCAAAGCATAACATAAACAAGAATAAGAATAACAAGAATAAGAATAATAGCAGCAACAACAATAAAAATAATATTATTCATTTTATGTGTGTGTCTGTAGTACTGGGGATTAGACCCAGGGGTCACAATGCTAGGTAAAGGCTCTACCACTTGAGCTACATCCCAGTGTCCACCTTTTTTTTTTTTTTTTCCCTGAAGCAAAGTCTCATGTAATTTTCATGGTGCCCTGGAACTATCAGTCTTCCTGCCTCAACCTTCTAGCTGGGATTATGAGAGTGCACCACCACACCCAGCTAAAACAATATTATTAACAGCAGTAATATGCTAATAAACTTCTACATTTTATTGGCTTCTCCCAATAGACCTATGACATAGCAATTGGTATGAACTCCATTTTGTAAATGAAGAAGTCAAGGCTCAATGGTTAAGCATCTCATTCAGGGTCACAAAGCTAGTAAGGAATGAAGTCAGAATTAAGAACTGCCATTCTAGGCTGCTGCTTTGTGTCTTTAATGCCTGGCACATGGTGTAAGCATGCAATTTTTGAAGTTGTATTGAGAAACTCTGAATATACCTTTAATTATATATGGTATACTCACAAACATGAAATGAAACAGCTCATCTCTAATAATTATGCAAATTGCTACTTTTTTTCCCTTTTAGTTCCTGATCTACGCCAGTTATTTTGCATTCATTGCTGTGGTTTTCCTGGTAAATGGTGCAGTCAGTGTTATCAAGAAATACAGACAGCAGGAAGATCAAGAATCAAGTTCTGCAGTAACTGCTTCATAATACACTGCTGAATGGGCTGCTTCTTATGGCAAGAACTCTGCATAGCAACTGCCTGGATGTATTTAATTTTTTAAGGTTTAGGCAAATATTTATGAATATGCATATTTCATGGCTTCAAAGCAGCCACTTAACTAACACCTTATATTACTGGAGTATTATGGTCCTGTTGAGAGGAGCCAGCAGTGAAGTTTAATTCATGGATTATTTTTGAGAGCTAATTTAAGGATGACTTTTTTCTGATTCAGAAGTGAACTTGATTTTGAAAACTAAGTAATCAAAAGCAGTCAAGCAGCACATGTGTTATATACTTGATTAGCAAATGAGTTTGGTGTTGAATAGGTCACATGCACCTCTGTATCCACTAGCTGGAGATTTGGCCTGATGGGACAGGGCTTCAAAGAAGCCACACGATGTTACAAACCTTGAGAAAAATATGTCCTATCAGCACCTGCCTCTATTCAACTTCATTCTAATCTCTGTGTTACTCACATGCATTTGTGTTTCTACAGATGACAGTTGTTCTATCACTGGCAATATTTGCTCTGGTTTAATGTTCTGTCCTGTAAGGAGTATGTGTTCTCATTTTTAAGTTATTTTAAAAAATTCATTGTATTAATGTTTTTGGTTCCTATCTTGACCATKATGTATTTGAAAACTCTTTAGAAGTACATTTTTTGCATTATTCTTATGCTTCCCAGAGAAGCTCACTTAGAAAAGATAAGTTTCAAGCTTTCTAGTAATCTAAATGAAGAGACATAATCAGTAGGTTTTTTTGTCTTTTGTAATTCAATATGAAGGACTATTAATTCCATGATGAAAAACTCATGTGGGTTAAAGATACAACTAATCCATCTTGTTTTTTCATTCCCTTTTTTTTCCAAAAAAAAAAAAAAAAAACAAAACAAAAACAAACAAACAAGTAAGTCTTTTTTCTTTAAAATAACTTCCTTGCATTTATAGCTTTTATATCATTTTTACTTTATTATCTGAGATAAAGATGTCAGTAGGAGTTAGATTTTTCCAAGGCCTTCTTCCATAAACTGAGCCTCTTTTTAATTATTTCAGTGGGCAGGAACTAGGTTAGATTTGGTTCCTCCATTTTGTAACTTAGGTATGCCTTTGTTTCTAAAGGCAGATCATCTTGAATATTTGTTTAAGTTAAAAGTTACTAGTGATTCCAAGTTACTTGGAAGAAAAAAGTTGTTCTGTATGTATTTAACTCTCAAGTCAATCTCCCAAGGGGCTGCTAATATTTGAGAGATATGAACACTATTTTAAAGCCAACTTTGTTGCCTTATTGTGAAAAAGAATCTAGGTAGGCGCTTTTAGCTGAGGTGTTAACTTTAAGAACAACACAGCTAAACAGCATTAATAATAGTGTCAAGATTGCAAAATTGGTATGTTTGTATGATTTAAGTAGGAATCCTAGAAGCAAATGGATGGGGATAAAAAAGATCATTTCTATTCACTTCCTTAACAATCAAGGGAAAGGAAAACAACTCTGACAATGAAGGGAAGGGTAAGTGATGTCATAAAGGTAGCAACCTGCAATGTTACTTTTTGATTTTTTGCTCTGATCCCTTTTTGCTTTATAGGGAATTGTTTACCCCCAAACAAGTAGGAAGGTAGTGTTTGAGGAATTTTATTTAATTTTGTAAATAAAATGGACTGTGGTACAATCAATTTGTTCATGTTATCAAAGCAATATTTCCCTGGTATTTAATTCACAGTTTGTGGCACCTAATCTGAGCCTTTACCTATTTAAGACAAAAATATGTTCATATCTTAGTGTGGCCATATTTGTAGAATGCTAAACCCAATGTGCTAGTTGTACTGTATACAGTTTTTYGAAGAAGCGAAAATAATTCATTGTACTTTTTATTCAAATCTGTATAGATTATAAAATTATTTTTATTAAATAAATATTTTAAAGTATATTTTCCCTTCTTAATCAAGATCATTTAAAATTTATCTTCTGCTTCAATAGGAGCTTTACATTACATATTTAAATCTTTTACTTTTTTCTAGGACAAAGTTTATATTAATCCTCCCCCTCTTCTGACCTTATAGTTAACCTTTCATCACCCTGTTAATTCTTCCATTGTTTTGTGATCTTACTCTTTCCCCTTGTTTCAGTTTTCATCATTTTTTTCTGGCACTGTACCACCAGAAAAAACAACAATCAACATTGCATTGTTGATTTTTCTTAATCTTCATCTTGGCAACTCTCATCTCTCTTTTTAAAGCATTCTTCCCTATAGAAAATGTAGACCTACACTCCCTTTTAATGTTAACCAAATTTTTTAAATAAACGAAATTATATCAGCGCAAGGGCTGAAAATATCATCTTGTTTTTAAAACTCCTTAGCCTCTTTGTTCCACCCCTAAATATTCTGATACTCAGAGATGTAGCTTCTTGCCATTGGTTAAGAATCATTTATCATATCCCAGGAACCAAATCAGTTTTTTCAGTACTCACAAAAGAGTACTTTTGTTTAATATCCTATTCTAAAACCCACGGAAGGGATTTAATTGATTATCACTGAAGACTGGAAAACTGTAGTGCCCAAAACAAAAACTTTTAAAAAACTGTTTTCTGTTCCTATAGATATTCCTATAGATACATCCTCAGTATCTTATTGTCTTTCAGATTATGAACCTTCTGAGCAGGGACCATGTCTTGTTTTTGTCCCTTGTTGCAAAACACATTTGGGTGCTATGTGAATACTGAATTATATAAATGGCATTTGATTAATTCAGCTATCTGCAATTATTTAAAAAGAACATCATGAAACATTAAAATGTCTATCACTGATCTCTAGTCCACCAGATGTTTTATTCAAGGTACTATGTTTGAATGATAGAAATAGATAGCCATGTGTTTGATTTATAACATCTTTCCTACAATTAACATTTTACATTTGTTTAGCATGTTATACTTCAGGAAGGATATTTGTGGACATCATCTTTGATTCCTGAAAAGGAAATTGTAATAATTCCTCTGCTTAACTTCAGTAAATAATGCTGTCAGAAGGATTTAAAATATTAGGTTTGCAATTTGGGTTTGACATGTTAGGAAAGTCATTGTTTTTATCCTCAAGTTTCCTATCTGTGAGATGATACTTCAGGATTGTTGTGAGGAAATGAGAGAACACATTTGAAATCACTGTCACCACAGGCACTGAGTAGGAGATTGGGATGTGAACTCATTTCCCTTTACTTTGTTTACAGTTAGTTTTTAGCTAATTTCAGAACTGCACTCTCAAGTTTAGTTGCAATCAAAATGTAAATCATAAGCTTTTAAACCCACCTCCCTTCTTTTTAATTCATATTTTGAAGCACTTATGTTAATACAAAGATGAAAAAGTCATGGTTCCTGCCTCCACAGAACTTGAAATGTGTGGCTGGAAAAGATATGTAGAAAGAATAACAAGACTGCAATCCAAGATAATGTGACAGGTACCATAATCATGAAAAGGCTTGGGTCAGGAAGAGAGCAAGGGCACTGGCAACATCAAAAGTGGTTCCCGAAGGAGGTGGAATTTAAGCTTGCCATGCACACTTAGTAGGATTTTAACAAATTAGGAAAAGGTGGGGAAAGGCCCATAATTGTAAAGGTATGAGGGTCATAAAATGTGGGGCGGGATTGTGGGTTTTATATAATAGGTAGCAAGGAATAAAGAAAGATCTGGCAGCTGTGGACARATTAATTTTATAGAGATACCTAAAATTGCTAGTTGAATTGCCATTGTAATTGGCTGTGTCTATGAGGAAGGACTTTGTGACTTATAGCAATGGAAACAAAAATAGGACAAGTTCCATGCTGCTAAATTAACATTCTAGAATGTGCCCATATTTCACGGTGACTTAGAAAATTTAACCTACTCAAGATCACACATCTGTGAAGCAGAAAAGCCAAGATTCTGATCCCTTCTCTACTGTGGAAGCTGATAGTCACTTCCGCCCGCGTCCCGCCAACAAGTCCGCAGTGGGAGAGAGCTGGGTGCGGGCAGTAGATCCTGCTCCGGAAAAAGCTCGAGCGAGGAAGAACGCCAGGCGGGAAGAGCCGTGGTCAGAGGGTGTGCGGACTGGCTCACCTACTAGGGTGGGCAGGCGGCAGACAGGAGAGGCGTGGGGTCCTGGTTGTAGGAGTGGAGTGAGAAGCGGCACAAACCCCAAGGCGGCGCTGCAGACCCTGCGCTCCGCCGGGCGGCCGCCGAGGAACAGGTGCAGCGCCCCGCGCCTGCGCGGTAGCGTCCCGCTGGTAGCCCGTCGGGCTCTGGAGAGCCGGCCTGCGTGCTCTCTGCTGTCTGCAACTCCTCGAAAGAAAAAGAAACCCACATTGAGCCCTAGGGTGAATGTCAGATATTGGAAAGGTGGTCAGTGGCTCTCCGTGACGTTCAAAATGTCTTCAGTAGCCAGTACAGGCCATCCATCCAAATTACCCTCCGAATTCGCTTATTACCAAATTGTCTTCCTTTAAATAAATGAATCAAACGGGGCAAGAGCCATTTGCCAAAGAAAWATCTTACCTTTTCGGGGTAAAAATTCATAGCTAAGAAAATTCATCCTTCTGCTCCCAATACTGAAATATAATAAAAACTAATTCTTAATATTTGAACCCCTTAATTTTGCTCAATTATATGATATAGTTCCATCTTCTACCTCCTCAGCTCCTTTTGCTGTTTGTTTTTAATATTCCAAACTGCATGCATCACCATCACCATTCTGTTCCTGATGCCAGAAACCTAGAGGACCAACTTCCGGAGTCTTGGGAGCGTTGTCAAGCATGGGCCTTGAACTGTTGATCAGCACTCCCTGAGAAACAGCTACCTGGAAAGCTTTGCCACTATCTTGGGCTAAACTAGTGAAGAGACCATATGTCAGAGAGTGTCCCTGGTGGAAAATTGTCTAAGTGACCAACAACAGGCTTGTTTTACCTAGGATGTTATTACAAGTAGTCTCAAATCCCTTTGGGAATATACTAAGTATATATTTAAACATACGCAATTTTATAACTGTCGATAGCTGTCAATAAATCAAAATGTACTTTCATTCAATAAATCAAAATGTACTTTCATTCCATAATGTTATTAACAGTAAAGAATACAGGTGAATATAAATATATAGGGACTATTAATTTAAAAGCATTTTTATAGCAATAGAGCCAACTAAAGAACACTTGTTAGATGTACCTGAGTCAGGTATTCTTTGCACAGCACAGGAACAGAAGACAGGGTTGATCTCCTTGCTAGTCATAAATACTATTTGTATACCTTCTGTGGAGTCTTGGTAGTTTAGCTTCCCTCTAATTATTTTTTGCCTTTAATGTTTAATGCTTATGTATGGATAACAAGAAAGGGTAACTTTTTCTGTTATTCTGCACTGAAAAAAGCTAGACCTGCAGGATGGCTGAGCGGATGTGTTCAGCTAGATGGGTAGATATTTTCAGAGTAATTATCAGGTAAAGTAACATCACAATCATCAATTTCAAAAGCAAATTATGATTGTGGCTTATTGAAAGGCTAAACTCATTTGGTTTATTTTCCATGCTAGTGTCTTTCCATTAAATTCTTCTATTACCCACTGATCACTTACAGAGTAAGCTAGAGCCCCACAGCAAAAAATCCCTTTAAACTAGGATCTGGGCATAGTGCGGAACAGCTGAGCACATGAAAAAAGTGCTGAACAAATCTACTGAACACATGAAAATGATTACACTCTAACTACCCTAATTACTTTTGTTTTGGCTTTTTAAAAATAATATTCCCTGTATTACTGAACAACTTTTTAAATTCATAACCTATCTCATTGTTAATGTATCAGTTTCTAATACATCACAGTTGTAAAGCCCTGTGATCTGTAAATGAATAAGCATCAAAGGTAGAATGTGTAGGTACAAAATTCAGATGTTT